AACGCGGCAAAATGCAGGATTTAGCACTTGTTGGTAATGTGACGATAATTTCACGCAACTTTCTAATTGTTTATCCCAAAACACCTGTTTTCCGGCCATCACTACACATCTAATAGCAGAATACACGTATTTACCGTGCCGATATGAATCACAAACCATTCCGAAAGATAAATGTTATTTTTACGCGAAAAACAAGGGTTACGTTTTTTTCTTCTAAACAAATTCAAACATTTCGTATTTGTAATTTAACAAATGCGCTACGATATTGGAAAAACATACATTACTATACACATTTTGAGACAAAGTGGATGTGTCTAACATATTTTGTTACGAATTACTCACAAATACGAAATGTTTGAATTTGTTTAGAAGAAGACATGTAACCCATCGTTCTTTGCATACAAATAACATTTATCTTCCGGAGTGGTTTGCGATTCATATCGGCAAGGTAAAGTAGTGTATTTTGCTATAAAATGCGCTTTGAACTAACCCTGTATATTGCTCAATAACATAGGAGTGATGGCCGGGAAACAGGTGTGATAAACAATTAGAAATTCTCAAAAACTACTTGACCAATATTATCCAATTTTGTTGTGGTTATTAGAAGTACGAGTCCTACGAATTTGAAGAATTTCAAATATCTGCAAGAAACCATCGTCGCATTACCAACAAGCACCAAAACCCGCAGTTTGCCTCGGTTTTCGGCCATAACTTTTTTGCTTTTAGTCGGATCTTTTTACATGTGGTCTCATTTTGTAGGCCTCATACATACCTAAAAATCCTATGTAAAGTTTTTTGTTCCTGTCAACACGTTCGATTGAATCCCAAAAAACGCGTTTTCTCACTCTTTGATGTCGAATAAAAAGTTTTCTCACAAAAATTGGTGTACCCATTTTATGCGTCCATGTTTTGAATACCCCCTTGAACAAGTTGCAGCAATACAACCAGACTACAATCATTTCGCAAACCAGGGGTGTTTTCGTGTAATATGTATTGCTTACATCAAATTGCAAAGTTTACACCTCTAGTTTTAAAAGGCACTACACCGCAAGAGATCCTTATAAAGTCATATTAACTACCTGTCTCAATTCCTTAATTTACAATTATTACCAACTTAGTGCCAATTCGTAGTACTCATAATGATCGAATTCCGACTATCCGTATACGACCAATTCAAACGCCACTCTTAACCCCTTCCTTGTGCCTCCATCATCTTTTTTAAGCCGTGGCATTCAATTTTCCCAATGCATCTGGATGAATTATACTTCCATTTAAAGGGGCACATTTCAAAAAATTATGATTTACTAATATTGAATGCTTAGGTTCAGTGTTTGTGGCAAGGAAAATTATAAAATGAACGCAACAACTACCTTTTCTAGTTAAGCGGTCAGATTATTTTTTAATCGGGCTATAAATTATGAGCCTATCAAGACAAAAAGCAATTGTTCTGATGGTTTAGTCAGAAACTTACTGAATACTATGTTATTCAACATTACAAGCATAAGCTGGAAGCTACTCTATAATCGAGAACGTTTTTTGCAGCTGCCAGATTGGTCCGATTAGAAAGTATTTTATTGATAAAACAAAACATAATCATTGGGTTATAGATGTATCCGAACATTCAGGAAATTATGGAGATGCTTAGTAGTACTATAAAAAAAGGTATGGTAGATCTGGTCTGAGAAAATCCATTCACCATAGATTCTCGTAATAGCCAAAAATGAAACTTGTTGTTTTCCTTGCATACTCAGAGCACAATGAATCCTGAGTTACAGCAGAGCGGATAGTTTGAAGAGTTCGAGGACCATGCCAATAGCCTAAATTAACCTAACTTAGCCTTATTTATTCTAAGTTAGTCAAATCCAATCTAATGTCTTATGGAGATGCTAACACTTTAATTTACATTATGTTAGATTAATTTAGGTAAGGTGACCTTACAAATCTGACCTAAATTGTTTAAGCAATGAAACAACTACTTTATTGTGGGATATGTTACAAAAAACAAATATCGTTTTTTGTACAGGTAATGTACCGTATGCCTGTTATACGTTTCGGTTGAACTTGTTGTGAAGCATGGCATCATGTACCTATATGTGTGACGAAATGTTATGATCCTTAACCTATTAAATAATTCACCGCATGTTGTAATCACAGTTGATGTATCGATGTCATGGGGTTATTTTAGTCCACAGTGGCATGTATTTTATTAACATAATTTATGAGATTCGCATGGCGAGAGAGACAGCATATTCCAACAAAGGCATGCTTTAAGCATGTAGTTACCACACCGAGTATCTCACATTTTGAGCAAATCTCTTGGTTAATTTTTTTTAAAAGTCCAATGTACTTATCTCGATCCAGGGCACCCATCACTAAATTCAATGTACACCTTTCCCATTAGTTACACAAGTGAAACATAGATTATTGGTATTAATTTCGGTATAAGATATTGTCAAAGTAAATATTTAGTGCAGCCACTAGCACATGTGTAAAGCTAAAACTACATGCCAGGAACCCACCAAATTCATGAACTAGTTGTACTAATATCCAGAACCTTCTTATTCTTTTCATGGAATTTGTCACTACATATGCAGTTTCAAACGCAACTGAAATATTGGACCGTGTAAATGAATTAATCATTGATTAATAAGGGTAGATAAAGTCTATGAAGTGCTGAAAGTTATTGACGTTTTGACTATGGCTGTAAAAAGCTTAATGCGAAAAAATTATAATAATATACGACTCTAAACCATTTTTACAAATAACTGGGATGAGTAACAGCGTGTCGGTACTTTCTTTAATTAAATAATGAATAGTGCCTATCAACTGAGAATATACTTTAGTTTGGGCTCACTCGGTTGTTCTCTTTAGAACTGAAAAAGCTCAACGCTAAGTAACTACAAACGGTCATATTAAGTTGATGAATTCAAAATACGAAAACGTTGAAGTCTTAGCCAAAACAATATATACGGGAAAAGCTTTCCATATCGGTATATACTGTGGATATTTTCAAGTAATTGAGATAAGGAAATTTGTGGGTGTGTTGTTGAATAAAATGATAATCTCAGCATGTTACAGGACCTTCCACATCATTGCAGTAATGTTAAAATGAAAGGAAGAAAGAAATCAAGTGTCATCTGGAAGACAATTAAATTGAATATGTTGATAAAAGTGTCAATTGTACGTGAAGAAGATTACCGTTAGAACTGAAACGTCGTACAATAAAGAGGAATCTTAAACATATGTGATTTGATTCGGCCAGACACTCATGGGAGTTTGTCAACATGAAAACCACAGGATATGTTCCAGATGCTACATTTATAAGTAATAGATACTAACTGAGCTCACTCCTGTTATTCCTCTTAAGGTCCCATGTCCATTCTTTTTCAACTGCCTGTTTGAGCAGCATTATAAATCCTTACCATCTGATTATTTCGTGGTGTGAATAGAGATGGCTAAAAAGCAATGTTCTAAATTTTTGGTCAAATAATGCATTTTTTGTGCATTTTTTCTTTAATTGTAACTTGTCGACAAACACGTTTATAGTAGAACTCTGAGCTTGTGATTTCGTTTTGCCTTATCAATTTTTCTCTTCGAAAAATATTTGATTTGACAATCTTTTTTAACTTCGAAAGAAGAAGGGGAGCAAGTGCATATAGAAACGACAAAACATTTAGGGGTACACATCAATAAAAGACATATTGATATGACACCCAAACGACTTGCAAAAAACGTTTTCCTCACAGAAGCTTATCCTCGGAGTTGAAATGCAAAGCACTGAAGTCAGTAAAATCAGTATATTTCCCGTATGTCATTCTCTCATACCTTATGCCATTTTGGCATGAGGACAAGGTTCAGATTGGCAGCGTCTATTCTCCCTACAAGGACGAGCACTTCGTGTAGTATTTTTTTTTGAATATAGAGCTGACTCTAGACAGAATTTCATAGATATTAAAATACTCACGTTGCCTTCAATATACATATACGAGGTATTAATCTTTATCTGAGTACTGATGAAAACATTAACGACTACAATACTAGAACTACGGGTACCTTGAATATTCCACCAAAATATTGTAGCAAACTTTCATTAAGTATCAGATCTTCAAATTTGCTTATAAACAAACAATCCAGGATATTTTAATTAGAAAATGCTTTTGCTCATACGAGTTTTTGGATTTTAAATTTAATTAATTGATTTATTTTAACCATTCTGAATCTTGACCTGGATTTTAAAAATATTATTTTGTGTTTTTTTATTCATTCTTATAGTGTTATGTTACATATCATATGTTTTATACATTTCTACAATATGACTTGTGTCAGTATCTACGATCGATGTAAAATGGCGCCAATAAATTATTTTTATCTGCATTTATGCAAGAAAGCACGGCCTGCAGTGATTTTTACGCAGGTAGTTCTGTGATAGACTCTATGCTTGTGTCTGACTATTGGCCTATGGTGGTGGTCACTCTATGTACAGTGATCCTTTTGTTGCTGGTAGTGGTGTTGTGGTTCGTGTTTCGGGACCCAGTGCGTGTGTGGTTTTAGAGCTTTACTAGTATTTGTCAACAAGCAACGGTTGAAGAAAAAATGCATTTTTTGAAAAAACTGGAAACATCTCTATTACACACCATGAAACAATCAGTATTTAGAATTTGGAATACTCACCCAGACAGACTGTTGAAAAAAGGGACATGCAACATTGAAACTCGCAAAGCTCACTACTAGGCAACAGTCGATCATATAGAATTCGTGCCAGTTGAATTCGTAATTCCTGAAGCTTTATCTCAAATGATATAAACCATAAGCTTTCCGCATCTCAAAAGCTCTACTGTGCGTTCCTTGCATCCGAAAAAGTACGCCGAAAGCTCGCAAACGGTCGGCCGGCAGGTAAAGATCGTCGAGTCCGTCCGGTGGCGCCCTCACCGTCCGCCGCCGTTACTACAATGCGCTTGCGTGCGTTCCGACTGTTTGAAACAGTCTATATACCGCATTCGAGTCGCGAGCTCCGTTAGTATTACTTCGAGCGCCGAACGGTATGGATGTATCTCAGTCGCGCGCTCACCATCTGTGAACAATGCACGGACTCTATGCTTACGCGCCCAAGCACGATCACTTCTGAAACTCGTCCGCAAAGTTACGCGTTGCGATGTGCCGTCGGAAATAGCTCTATAAATTGGACTTTTCGAAAATGTTGGTGCGACTTTTCGGTTCGTTTCTCCTAACGGCAGCTTTCAGTGTTGCTGCACGGTTCGACGGTCCGGAACAGTGCTCTTGGTTGCCGGATAATTCGGATACCTCCTCCTCGAAACTGGCAGTTACGTGTAAAGTGCGCACGCTGGAAGATACGGCCAACATCACCGCCTTGCCTGCTGAAGTGACTTCCAGACTTAGGATACAATGTAGCGATGTGTTGTTCTTCGAAAGTTCTCTGCCCACCCAAGGTTTGCATCGGCTTCACGAGCTGGAGGAGCTGCAGGTCAGCAACTGCAAGCTGCTCAACATCGCGCCAAACTCATTCGAAGGACTCCATAATGTGAAGAAGTTGTCTGTCAATACGTTCAACGCCGACTGGAGCCCTACAAAAAGCTTGGAACTTACCAGCTACAGCCTGCAGGGTTTGAAAGAGCTACAAACTCTGGACTTGGCGGATAACAACATTCGAGCTGTGCCTGATGGATCGTTCTGCTCCCTTCCAAACTTATCCACGTTGAATTTGACGAGGAATCGTATCCGCAATTCAGAAAGGATAGGCTTCAACATCCCAGAATGTAGCAGTAGCGAGTTGCAAAACCTGGACCTATCCCACAATGATTTGAGATCTCTCTCGGAAAACTCAGGTTTTTCAAGACTGAGACGCTTGCAGCTCCTGAATCTCCAGAACAACAATGTTTCAGAAATATCCGCCGAGGCGCTAGCAGGTCTGGTATCTTTGAGGATTCTTAATTTGGATAATAACAAAGTGGGGACATTACCGCAGGGGCTATTCGCTGGAACGCCGGAGCTGAAAGAAATACATTTGCAGAATAATTCATTGTTTTCGCTGGGCAAGGGATTATTTCATCGGTTGGAGCAGTTGTTGGTGCTGGACTTATCGGGTAATCAGCTTACCAGTAACCACATAGACGCTGGAACTTTCACCGGGCTTATCCGACTGATCGTACTTAATCTTTCGCATAATGCTTTAACTCGCATCGACGGCAAAACCTTTAAGGACCTGTTTTTCCTGCAGATCCTGGATTTGAGGAATAATTCCATTGGATTCATCGAGGACAATGCCTTTTTGCCGCTGTACAACCTGCACACGCTGAACTTAGCCGAAAACCGACTCAACACTATCGGAGTGCAATTGTTCAACGGACTGTTTGTGTTAAGTAAACTTACGTTGAACAACAACTTGATCATCAGCATCGATACGCGTGCTTTCCAAAACTGCTCTGCACTTAAAGAACTGGATTTGAGTTCCAACGCTCTAGCCGAGGTACCTGAAGCGATACAAGAACTTTCCTTCCTGAAAACGCTGGATTTGGGCGAAAATCAAATCACCACCTTCCAAAACGGTTCGTTCAAAAATTTGAACCAACTTACAGGCCTGAGACTGATCGATAACAACATTGGAAACTTGTCGAGAGGCATGTTGTGGGATCTTACAAACTTGCAAGTGTTAAACTTGGCGAAGAATAAAATCCAGAGCATAGAAAGAGGTACTTTTGAGCGCAACACGCAGATCGAGGCTATCCGGTTAGACGAGAATTTTCTAACGGATATTAACGGCGTGTTCGCGACACTCGCAAGCTTACTTTGGCTTAACCTATCGGAAAATCATCTAGTTTGGTTCGATTACGCTTTCATCCCAAGTAACTTGAAGTGGTTGGATATCCATGGAAACTTTATCGAACATCTGGCAAACTACTACAAAATACAGGACGAAATTAGAGTCAAGACCCTCGATGCTAGTCATAATCGTATCACAGAGATCATGCCGATGTCAATACCTAACAGTGTGGAACTCTTGTTCATCAACAACAACTTTATCAGATCAGTAGCTCCAAATACCTTTATAGACAAAGAAAACCTAGCTAGAGTCGACATGTATGCTAACGACCTGGTGAACTTAGATCAAAACGCGCTCCGTATCGCTCCGGTGCCTTTGAACCGGTCTTTGCCTGAGGTCTACCTGGGTGGGAACCCTTTTCACTGCGACTGCACCATGGAATGGCTACAGCTCATCAACAACATGTCGGCTTCTAGACAGTACCCCAAAGTCATGGATCTGGAGAATGTCATGTGCAAGATGACCCATTCACGAGGAATGACACACATGCCTTTGAATCAAGCTAAGACCAGTGACTTTTTGTGTACTTACGAGACGCATTGTTTTGCTTTATGCCACTGTTGTGATTTCGATGCTTGTGATTGTGAGATGACATGCCCGAATAATTGTACGTGTTACCATGACCAAACGTGGAATACCAATGTTGTGGATTGTTCTGGTCAGCTTGCTGCTGATATCCCTAATAAGATCCCCATGGATGCTACCGAAGTGTACTTAGATGGAAACGAGATTAAAGAACTGCAGAATCATGCTTTTATTGGCAGAAAGAACATGAGGGTGCTATATGTGAATAATAGTGGTGTGGAGTTTATTCAAAACAGTACTTTCAATGGATTGCACGCGTTACAGATTCTGCACTTGGAAGACAATAAGTTGCATGAGTTGAAGGGTTACGAGTTCGAGCAATTATCTAGTCTCAGAGAGTTGTACCTGCAAAATAACGTTATCTCGCATATAAGCAATAATACTCTGGAACCCCTTACTTCACTAGAGATACTCCGTTTAGACGGAAATAAGCTAGTCACGTTTCCCGTATGGACACTATCATCTAACTCCCGATTAGTCGAAGTTACTCTAGGCAGCAACCCTTGGTCATGCCGTTGCAAGTTCCTTCAAGGTCTCACTGCATGGGTGGGAGACAACGCAGCCAAAGTTTTAGATAGTGCTGACATGATGTGCTACAATCCCGATTCGAAACCTCCACAGCGTCGCGAACTGGACTTTAATAGCACGGCCTGCAGTGATTTTTACGCAGGTAGTTCTGTGATAGACTCTATGCTTGTGTCTGACTATTGGCCTATGGTGGTGGTCACTCTATGTACAGTGATCCTTTTGTTGCTGGTAGTGGTGTTGTGGTTCGTGTTTCGGGACCCAGTGCGTGTGTGGTTGTACTCCCGATACGGAGTACGATTGTGCAGCTTTCGAACCACCTCGGCCAAACACTTCGAGGACAGAGACAAGTTGTACGACGGCTTTGTGTGCTACAGTCCCAAAGACGAGGAGTGGGTGATTCAAGCCCTGGCTGCGGAGCTGGAGCCCAAGTTCCAGCTATGTTTGCACTACAGGGACCTTCCTCACACGGCGTACATGCAGCATGCTGCCCCAGCAGTGCTTGAAGCTGCCGAAGCTAGTAGACGGGTGATCATAGTGTTAACGAGGAACTTCCTACAAACTGAGTGGTCGAGGTTTGAGTTGAGGCAAGCGTTGCATGAGGCTCTCAAGGGGAGAGCGTTTAAACTGGTGATATTAGAAGAAGGGCCGCTTCCTGAAGCGGAGCTGGACCCTGAGTTGAGGTTGTATTTGAAGACGGCGGAAAGAGTGAGATGGGGGGAGAAGAGGTTCTGGGAGAAGCTCAAATACGCTATGCCCTCGGTTGAGCCCAGGGGCAAGATCAACGCCAATTATAGGTGAGTCTCGATCAGTATAGTTTATCTTTTCATAGGTTTTAAGCAATTCGATTTTTAGAGATTAAAGTCGACATTCAATTTCATTAAGGTCTTGAAAAAGAAGGAAAGAGATCCGCTGCAAATTCGGTACGTCCAGTGAATCTTTGAGAAGGCTTAAATTTTCCAAGAAATGTGGAGGGTTACTTATAGTCAAGCCGAAACTTCCAAAATAAAAATATGAAAATCGGGTTGAATTACAAATAATTATAAGACAAAAAATTAAAATAATGTGATGTTCCGCTATCCGGATATAAGAGACAATGATCAATTTGCATTTTTCAACCATTGTTTTAATAAAAGTCATTTTTTTCACTGTATGTGTGTTCGCCGTACCTTAAATTTGATCTAGAAAATACTTGTCTACTTATATAACGTATCTTTATTGAAGAAGATGTAATTTGTATAATAGTAAAATATAGCTTTTACAGAAAATATGAAGGTGTCAGTATCGTCCTGCTTTGTTGGATACGCTAGAATCACTAATAGCGCCGAAAACGAAGTTAGTAAATTGTAACAGAGTATTGTCAGGTTCCTCCTATTACAGGTATTTCAAATTCGACCCTCACCATTGGGATCTTAGAAAGAGTAAGAGATACAAAGTTGCTTTAATGAGGGCAAAGTTGCGTATTTAGGTAACCAACAAAATAGTGCTTAAAAAGTCCAAAGTGCTTTGGGAGAGAGAAAGGGGAAAAAATGAATTTTTATACATTGTTTACTGCTCCAGTTATTTCTCTATTCTAGAAACTCTGTTATTAGGTTCAGTCTAAGGTCTGGTCTGGTATACAAACCAAATGACTATCTGATAATTTCAAGGCCTACCTAGGAAATTCTATGTTTCTGAAGTAACTTTATGCACCTGTATAAAAGTCCATACGAAAAAATAAAGTTTATGCTGGAGGGCAAGAGACGAAACGTCATATTGAAATTTTAATTATCCCATCTTGTAAAGCACAAAAATGAGCAATGTTAATATGTAATTTGTTTTGGAATTCCACTATAAATAAAGTTAGGAAAAAATTAAAAATGGTTTCCGATAAATTCGTTATTTTTCGTCTCTCTTCGGAAGTACTTTGAATTTCGAAGCTTTCTAAGCGGCATTTTGTTAAATACCTAAATAAGCAAATTTGCCTCCATTTAAGCGACCTTTTATCTTACTATTTCCGAAATTCCAAAAGTGAGAGTCGAATTTCAAACCTCGATATATAGATGAACGATATGACATTCCTGTTCTTCATTTGTAGGGCCATGATTCAATCGTTCCAGAAAAATATTCTAAGCAATTTTATTTTGAAAACCTTATCATTAAAGGAGTTTCGAGTTGTTTGATACTCAGCTCATCTATATGTACCTCTATATTCACGCTTAAATATTCAGAAATGTCAGTGAGGAATTCCAATCCATTATTCAATGGTACATTTTTGGATAATCCAAGAATCGGCTGCAGTTTCCCATTACATTATCCCTAGTCTAGTACATAACAGAAATCCTTTAATGTTGGCTGAAAGGCAATGTCGTTTTATCTTTTATCCAATTTTCCGAATGCGATGTAAAATATTCATCTTCCAACTACGTTAATCGTTAGGCCAACATAATCCATTAGAGTGTCGTGAAAATACCCTATAGCGGGTTATATCAAATTTTATTTCTACACAATGAATTAAACTGTGATTATTGATTTATTAATTTACTGTGAATGCGTTTCTATACGCTTTCAGTCGATTACTTACTACAATGTAGTCAGCTGAACAATCTCTATTAACATAACCGAATCAGCGGCTCTGACAACACCTGCTTCAGCGGGTATACAAGAATTTTAAGTTCATATGTTGCATTGTCTAATCTCTATAAACGTCAAATATATCAATATTTCAACAGTTGTGTCTCTACTAATGTTTTGGTGGTCTAAGCTCAGCTACATTTTCTCCAGTGTAATGAAAAAACATTTTGTCAGATGTGTTTTTATAGCCAGGAATCTTGATAGACATTTGAGTTGAGTTTCTGATATTTTTTGTTGGCTATTTGAAAACCTTGAGAGGCAGCCAATGCCGGTGATGGATTCCACACTAGCAATATGCGTACAAACAAGTTTCAAGATTAAATTAACGGACAAAAGCTGGCATAAGATACTAAATAGCGCCGTGGAAGAACATTGTGAAGTCAAATAATTTCAAAATAAGTAACGATATTGTCTAGGACGTTATGTTAGAGTAATTTTGAGGATAAATCTGAATTACATAGGTAAGACTTCCAAGGTTCGTTCGTAAATTAGGAATCAGGGAGTTTTTCAATGCAGGAGCTATGCTTAATGCAAGGAGTTCCAGATTTCAGGTTCAGAGACGACGATATGTTTGGCATGTGAATCTGTACGTCATTACTCAAAGTTCAAATACTTCTTACCTGACTTTATCTTTTTTATAATCACTTAACATACATACCAACAATGTGGAAGCATTATTAAAAAATAAAACAGAAGAACTTACGTGGGATATATAACAAGCGAAATGTGCCATTAGTGGCGATTAAAAGTAAATGTGATTAATTTTATTTCCTATAAATCGGATTCCGCAATATATCCCTCGATGATAATATCTCCATGAATATGCAAATCGCAAGTCAAACCATTTATTTGCTGGAGATATTTAAATGTTCGTTTGTTTAATCATATCAATAGTTAAACGTTTACACAATGTTAGGCAAATCCTTCAGAAGCATTAATTTGCAAACCAGTAATTCCAAAAAAATGCCTGCGGGCTTTTTGGGTTCTAAAATCGAGTGACTATGTCGAAACTGCGTAGAGCAAGAATCGACTTCAAGTATGTGTTCTTCATTAGAAGATACAAAGCTATTAATGAAACGCTTGCACAATGTAATTTTTAAAATTAATGGTTGTGCCAGTACACAAAAATTTGCTTCTTACAAAAGTTATTAATTTGTAAAGTCAGGACACGGAACGGTGAAGTCCAGAAACTCATAATTCATTGCCTCATTCGGCTAGATGATTGATCACAGACGAATAGTCTCTTCTTGTAAACATTAGCTTTGAACATAATATCTTGCGTGTGTACGAATCTATCACTGAGCAGGTTAAATAAAAATATCCAACTATTGAAGCCAGGTGGAAGGCTATTATTAGTATATATTTGAGGATGGATTTACTCCATCACTTCATTTGAGCTGCCTATATTTATATTACAAAAATATCGTTAGACTCAAGAACTCTTGAAATTATTACCTTGATTAGAGATAGCGGGTCCTTAGAATCAAGAAATCTCATTATTTAAAATTATAACTCCAATTTCAATTGAATTGTAAATTTCATTCACCTCTTAAGTCACTCAAATTGAATTTTTCAGGAGACAATAAAAACTGTGTCATTGATAAATAAAACTTTTTTGGGCTCAACTTAGCATTTGAGTTTTTAAAGATTGAAGTATATACATTCAACATTTATTAATAATAGTAATGGAAAGAAGTCCAAAGAGCAATTCTGGACTTACGTTATTTCAGCAAGAAATAGGGCCAGAGTGATATAAGCTTGAGAAAAAGAAAAACACTATTAGGTATCATATATATTTGTTGATTAGGCATTACTGGAAATTACAATTAAATACTGACTTATATAGAATCCAACATGTCTTAGTCTTGGATCTTTTAATATCTTTAAGGTACAAACCCGGACAAAGCATTCTCTACCCTGGAAAAATCGAGTTTCCTGTTTTAAATCCAAACCGTGAATCGTGAAAGATCTAAACGAACTGTTTTTCAAAATGTCTAGGGCATATGCTTTTGATAGGAAACATGAATAAAGCGCATAAGGCAGTGTAGATAATGTATTCATCTGAACCTTATTTTTCTGGTTATTGAATTTGAAATTGGTATTTTGATGCATATGGCACAAAAAAATGAAAAAAATAAATAAATCAAGGACCCTGGTGCTAAGTTCTTTGTAATCCTGGTGTGTTGTGAGATATGCAGTTCCTCGTGTCATACTTCGAGTGAGAAATCATCATACATTTTCAAATTCCGTATGGAAAATCCCTTTAATGTAATGCTTTGCATAGATGCGGCGCAACTTCAGGCTCAAAAACCTCAATCTTCCCTGTTCGCACCACTTACACCAGAATAGTCAGAAGAAAGCAAAGCAGCTCATTTGAAATGAAGCTCGAAGACTGAGATACTACCTGTAATTTCATCTCTATACATTAATTTTAAATGATGCTCTTCGTATTATATATTTCCTCTACCATTTGTACTCGAGACCACACATCGAGTCTAGCATGTGGGTGATCTGAAGAGGGAAACGGATATATTGAATCGTTTTTGAAATGAAGCGTTCGAAAAGAGAGTTAATATTTTGTCACCTAAATTTAAGTAATACTCGTTTATTACATCGTTTATTGCATCACTTTAAGTTGTTCCTTAAATTGGATTTGAGATCATCCCAAGTGAGGCACATTCAAATAGATTATGAAGTCTTAAAATTGTTCACGGTGACACCACGCTTAGAAACCGAGATACATACTCAATCAAGTTGTATATTTTTTTAAAAACTCGGGCAACTCTGGGGCTTTTTTTCCATCGTGAAATGATCCATAATTGGATTCCCAGGTCTTAATACGAGTACATTCCGCAAAAAGTGCTTACTAACAGATAACCGTCTGTGATAAGGACGCCTCAGATCGAACAGGACCACATTTGATGTACCATAACTCTCTTGACTCCATAACAAAGTTGACTTAAAGAATGACTATTACCCATTCGCCCTTCAATATCAGAATAAACGAGAAAACCGATTGATGAGAATCAATGAAATGAACAATAATTAGTACACTATCAGAAAAGTCATTACGTGAATGTTTTCTGCATTACCGATAAGCTTCACTGACCCCTTGATTCACTAAAAATACGTTATCTGATGCCTTTTCGGATATGGTTCTAAAAATATCCAACTGCATTTCAAT